TAAAAGAATAATAATAATTATTATTATTATTATAATGTGAATAGATAATTAAATTATTATATTAATTTTAATAATTATTAGTTAGTTATTTTGATTATTAATTGTTCATAATTATAATGTTAATGATTATGCATAATGATAATTGTCGAGATGGCGACCAAAGTTTGTACGAGTCGGCGTGGCAGTGATATCATACGACATGTTGTGAAATAGAGTAAAAGTTTCTTTTGTACAAAATTAATATTCATTTGATTTTTATATGGAATAATGTCTCATGTAAAAAACCTCGGTGAATAGATGTTTGGCTTGTTTAGTTATGTGAAGTCAGATAAACGAGGAAACCTGTCCCCTTGTATTTAGAATAAATTTGCATTTCATCATTACAACGTATACTCACTGCACTTTATGTGGCAGTATAAATTGGCAATAACAAGATCATTTCATTTATCTTGCTGTTTCGCATTATTTGATACAGCACAATAAGTAATCATGTCACCTCGCTATTGTTTAGCAGTTCGTTATGAATCACTACGATTTATATTAGCTTAACTTATTATTGATCAAGAGTACATTAACACGAAGTCTGTAGCGGAATTTTAAAATATATCACTAAAAATATCTCTATGTGGATTTTTCTTTTTATGTTGAAGTATATCAGTAAATTGTTTATTAAGCTTTCAGGTATATATGTATATATATGTATATATATATATATTTATTTATTTGTTTATTTATTTTTAATTTGTTCATTTATTTACCAACTTCGGTCACATTCTACGGCAGTGTTTATCCTTACACGTTTAGACTAGCTCAACTAGGAAAGCCAAAAACCGCTTAGAAGATGGCATCCCTTGGTCAATTTATCTCCACACCTGCATAAATCTAAATCTCAAGCACGATAGAAGAATCTAAGGAAGCCGCTAAAATGACAGAAGTACTCACGCAGAGAAATCATTTAAGGCGTGTAGGTTAATAACTTTTGAACCTACAGAACTTCGAATACAATTAAAACAATTAGAAATACAATTTAAACAATTACTATCATATTTTCGCGCTCATTGCTTATATGCTGTATCATATTCCACATTTTCACAATTTTTGATTTATTTCAATATGTAAATATTTGCCTTTCAGTCCGGAGAAATGGGGATAGATCACTGAAGATTAATGTGATGACGAACTAAAATATCACGAATTACTAATTAAAGAACTAAATTGCATAACAGCTGCTACTAAAGGAAAGAAGCGAATAACTTATACTGACTCTTGTACCTATGTGAAATCAACATGTGTAGCGAAAATTGCCAGTTCGTTTACCTTCAAATGCCATTAGGCAACTTTCACATATATGCTGTGTGTTTAATTACTACGTGTGCCACATTTCTCCACTAGGTGGCACCAGCTCGAGGTACAATTGAAGGAACCTTGGTATGGGATCTGTAAAAGTCAAAACCGGTGTATTTTTAAAAGGTACAATGAAAACGTTGCCCTACCCTACACATGCACGCACGTATAGCTACGTACGCCCATCTGCCTGCCTTCCCGCCGGCACGTACGCACGCAAATATGCACAGATAAATATATATATATTATATATATATATATATATATATCAGAAGTAGATAATAGGGAATTTCCGATTTGTATTCCTATTATCTACTCTTACTATAAATATAATCATCTGTGCATATCATCTCTCTCTCTCTCTCTCTCTCTTCTCTCTATAAT